TTGATTCTATAGTATGCTTCTACTGGAATGGTTCTTTTCAATGGCATCCATCCACTATTATCCACAATTTTGTGTTTCCATGTTAAATATAAGAATGCAACCCTGAAATTATGGGACCATACTGTATTTTAAAAGATGAGTTGCAATTTTTTTTAAAAAGTTTAAGCAACTAAAGACAAGGCAATGATACCAAGGGAATACAAGCTGAGCAAAAAATAAGAGAGCTAGGTGAACCATTTTCAACATCTTACAATCTACAGTGCTAAAATTTTGAAAAGTAATGGAAAAATTTAACCACTGCTCTCTGGTGGCTTAGCAGGTTAAACCACTGAGCTTCTGAACTCGCTGACCAAAAGGTTGGGGATTAGAATCCTGGGAGTGGGGTGAGTGCTCGCTGTTAGGACCAGCTTCCACCAAGCTAGCAGTTCAAAAACATGCAAGTATGAGTAGATCAATAGGTACTGCCTTGGCAGGAAGGTAACGGCACTTCATGCAGTCATGCTGGCTACATGACCTTGGGCGTATCTACAGACAATGGCGGCTCTTCAGCTTAGAAATGGAGATGAGCACCACTCCCCAGAGTCGGACATGACTAGACTTAATGTCAGGGAAAACCTTTTCCTTAATGGAAAAATTAACGGGGGAACAGGATTGTTATTCGGGGTAGCAATACCCTCATATTCTCCCCTCATAGCTTTTCCCTATAGATCTCGATCAATCAACTTAGGAGAAATTTCTACTGTCAAACTTCCCACTACAAGTTCAATGTGCCTATTGTCAGATTTGCCTGATACACCAGCTACTCTCATTACTAGAGAATGGAATTGTCGATACTGACAGATTTTTGGTTACTTCCATTTACAATACTGGCTTCTGAATATGATTATAGTGATGCATTCCATATAGGGTTGCATTTGAAGTCTAGAAACTTCATCACATGCAAGATGAGCTGTGTATTCATATAATATCCACTGAGAGACATCTGTTTTTTCTGGGCTCAATTCAAGAAGCTAGGTTTGGCCTATAAAGCCCCAAGTACCCTGCATATTAATGGCCTGGCTGTGTTTACTTTATTATTACCCCTTGCTTCTGTGTAAGTCTTCAACTGCGCCATGATGTACTTCTGTAATATATCAGGACAGTCAGGGTGAAACTCTGGAGCATGGAAATATTAAAGAAAATAATCTGTGTTTCTGACAACACAGAGCAGGTATGAGCAGACACAGGTTTTCAAGATGGCATGAGCTCTTAGCATTTTCCTTTTAGAAATTGTATCATCATTGACTTCCAAAATATGCTGGCTAGAAACCAGCACCAGGTTTGCCTTTGCTTTCAACTGAAGCATATTGAAGCATTTATTCCAAACAGCAGGTTTTATGGAATGATGTGATTTTCCTATCAACAACCTCCATATCAATGTGTCATAAACTACAATAAAAAATTAGGAAGCAAGCGTGTAATTTTGTGGCACCGAGCAAAAGCTGTCGCTGACAGGTAAATTTGTTTGCAGCTTCAGCAAGCCAGTTCCTAGGGTTACTGTGTGCGACACCGATTCCTCAAACATATTAAAAGACTTCATTTTAAAAACACAATGTCATGCTACCAGAAAGCACACATTTGAAAAATATTGCTAACTCAAAAGCACCAGTGATTTTTGAAGAATGTTGAAGGACAATCTTCACCCTCCAGTAAATTATTCTCCACGGAATAACTAAAACTCCTAAAGTGGAATTGGAGTGTGCATTCATTGCTTTTTATTTATTCCATTTCTATTTTTCTCTTGCCAAGGTGACTTGCATTTTTGAAAGTTTAATAATAATAATAATAATAATAATAATAATAATAATAATAATAATAATTTTATTTCTCACCCACCTCTCCCCGCAGCTCAAGGCGGGTTACAACACAATAAAAAAAACACAAACATTGCAAACATTCTACAAATATACGAATTTCTATAAAAGATCCACATTAAAACTGCATTTTTATAAAATACATATTAAAGAACACAAAACAGACATCAAACAACATGAGTTTATAAATAAATAAATTTAAAAAATAAATAAATTAAAGAGGGATAATAAAAATTTATTAAAGAAATAAAAATAATATAAATAAAAATAAATTAAAAATAAATAAATTAATTAATTTAAAAAAAAGTCAAGAAAGGAGACACACTATCTTTAGTTGAAGCTGTTTTGGAAGGCATGGAGAAATATATTTGGGTGTCATCAGCAAATATGATGCCTATGGATGATCTCTCCAAGCAGCTTCATGGAAATATTAAGAGCACTGGGGATAGAATGACACCTTGTGAGATACCATATGGCAGCTCCTTTTTAGAGGAGCAGCTATCCCCAACTACCACCATCTGGAACTTGTTTGAAAGGTACGACAGGAACTATTGCAGCACAATACCTCCAATTCCTAACCCCTCCAGGCATTCCAGAATGATACCATGGTTGACAGTATCGAAGGCTGCTGAGAGGTCTAGAAGCACCAACAGGGACACACTCCCCCTGTCACTGTTAAGATGGATATCATCCACGAAGATGACCACAGCAGTCTCTGCTCTGAAGCTGGTTTGAAATGGGTCAAGGAAGTGTGTGTCATCCAAGACTGTGTGGAGTTAGAGGGCAACTACCTACGGTGCAATAAGGGTCTTTGGACCATAATAAATATTGTTGTTGTTGTAACTGCCTTCTCAATCACCTTGCCACAAAAAAAAGGGGGGGGGGGGTTAGACACTGGTCTGTAATTATTAAAGTCCAGGGGATCCAGGGCGGCCTTTTTTTAGCAGCAGTCTAACTACTGAGATGCATTAATAATTTCTTGTATTTGAGATTAAATTGCATCTCCTCCCTGGACGACCAGCCAAGAGGGACAGTGATCAAGAAAGCAGGTTGTCCTCCTTACTTGTTCCAGCAGCTTGTCCACATCAACTGTACTCACCAATTGAAACTGATCCAGTGTAATCCCAATCCCAGAGTTACTAGACACCTCGTTGTTGGCTTCTGCTCCAATGGCAACATCGAAGCCAGTTCTTATGCAAGAGATTTTATCAACAAAATGGTTATTAAAAGCACCACAGTGGCCTACTGAAGGTTCTAGAAAGGGTTCAGAGGGGAGGGAACCTGGGTCAAGCCTCTCAGCACTTCAAACAGCTCAGCCAGACGTGAATCTGCAGATGCAAGGCATGCAGAGAGGAAAGCTTTATTCACTGCAAATATTGCCACCTTTTAGGAGCAAAGGAGCCCTCTATACAGTGTCTTGTCACAAAAAAAGTCAGGTTAAAACCTGTCAGTGAAAGGAGAGCGGAGAGAGGTCCACTGTCTAGGAGCAGCCACTGAGAAAGCTCTATCTTGTATTTACAGTCCATATTGTTTTGCAGTTGCTAGTTTAATGTGACCTTAATGCAATGCTAGATTTGTCCTTCATACATAGTACAGTATTTCCCCAAATCCACCGATTTAGTCAATAGAAAACTATGCATGTGCTTTGGCAACCAACTTACTAGCCAATAGTTCTGGATGTAATGCATGTATGAAGTTGAAATTTACATAACTAAAAAATATGTGGACTAAATTCACTAAAATGAACTTAATGTTTCATTTAAAATGTCACAATTTAAATTGGTGCTTATTTGTAATCTGGGTTGCTGTGAGTTATTTGGACTGTACGGCCATGTTCCAGAAGCATTCTCTCCTGACGATTCCGCCCACATCTATGGCAGGCATCCTCAGAGGTTGAGAGGTCTGTTGGAGACTAGACAGCATGGAAGAACTCTTGTCTGCTTGAGGCAAGTGTGAATGTTGCAAATGTTGCCATCTTGATTAGCATTTAATGGACTTGCAGCTCCAAAGCCTAGCGGATTGCTGCCTGGGGAAATCCTTTGTTGGGAGGTGTTAGCTGGTCCTGTTAGTCTGTTATGCAGCTAACTCAAAGGTTGGCAACTGTCAGGGCACACATTGCTTTCTACTCCTCTGTTTGTTTGTTTTCCTCCTTTAAAAAAATCTAAAAATTCTTCCCACGTCCACCTACATTCACAAACCATATGGAGTAAACATATTCCAAGGGTAGCAAATCACCCAAACATTGTCATTTGCAAAATTTATTATTATTTATTTATTTATTTATAGCATTTCTATTCCCCACAATGCACATATACATGGCAAACATTCAATGCCATAGACACACAACATATGTAGACAGAGACACAGAGGCTATTTAACTTTCCAGCTTCATGAAGGTTTGCCTTTTGAATTCCGGAAACCACCGGGGGAGCTGTCGCTTCACCATCCACTTGTGACACCGATGGAGTACTTCCTCATTCTTTTGCACACTGCTGGAGAGTTTTTATGGCGTTGTAAATTAGTTAAATTAGCCTCCCCGCATAAGTGGTACCTAAATTTCCTACTTGACAGATGCAACTGTCTTTGGGCTGCAAAGGTCGACAGCAAGCTGGACAAATGACCGGAAGCTCACTCCAACCCAGGCTGGCTTCAAACTCATGACATCTTGGTCAGTAGTGATTTTAATGCAGCTGACTCCCAACCAGCTGAGCCACAACTCGAAAATCATAAAGAGTGTACAACATGTGTGTTTCCATCTCATGTTCAAAAGCCCCAAGTTAGACTGCATTGTGTCTAGTGTAAGTCTATGATGCACCCAGTTTCTAAATAAAGTGGTGCATCCATTTTAGTGGATAGTTGAGCCCAGCCTTTCAAACCCACTTCCTAAAGGTCAACCTCTTTGCTTCTTTGCATCTTCTTTCCTCCCCCTCCCTCATCAACTCCCTACCCCTCCCTTTTCCATTCCCGGCGCTCTGATTCGTGGTGCCGACTGTCACTCACCGGCTCGACTCTTGCCCCTCCCCACCTTCCTGATTGAGCGCTCGCTCCCCTTGCCGTCCCGCCTTCTTCCTCCGCTTCGTCCTGCCTCCTGGAGGTGGCCCCTGATTGGGCGGGAGGCGCGCTCGTCAAGCCGCCGGTCCAATCGGAGCCGGCCTGCCTGCCCACGAGCGAGCCGGGAACTTGCAAGTAAGTGTGTGCGACTGTGTGGGTCGGGGAGAAGCGGAAGGTTTTAAGGAAGAGGATGGGGAGGCTGGTCGATGTTGCCATGGTTACGGAGGCCTTGCAGAGCACCCAAAGGTGCCTCTGGAAGTGGGCGCCTTGTTGGGAGGGAGGACTTCTGGGGGAAAGAGAGGGGCCAGGAAAAATCAGCCTGCACCCCAGAGTTAGCCTTATAGATACTTTTATTTATGACATTTCTGAAAACCACAGATCTTCTTTTGGAAGCTGCAACTGGAGTTTAGTGGGGAGGGTCTGCCATCTTCCCTCTCTCCTTCCTCCTGTTCAGAATGAGGCTGAATCTACACTGTAAATCTAACACAGTTTGACACTACTTTAATTGCCATGGTTCAATGCTATGGTGTCACCAGCCAGGTGTTTTGGATGGCACCATGGGAGTTGTAGTTTGACAAGGTCCTTGGCCTTTAATCTGCCAGAGTGTGCTGAGGCCTCAACAAACTACAGCTCCCAATAGTCCATATCATCCAGCCACAGTATTTGAAGAGGTGTCAAAACTGTATTAATACAGCAGTGTAGATGCATCCCTGAAAACCAACCATGCTTGCTTTGGAAGGAGGCGTACTTGTTAGGGATTTGAATAGGGACTTGGTTTATTATGGTTTTACTATCGCTTTTCCTTCTTTTTTTAGGCTGCAGTTAAAAGATTATATTTTTGGGATGTGAAAATGATCCCAAAAGACAAAGGGCACAATATTGATTAATTATATATTAATGCTTTGCAGTGCTGTGTGTTTACTTGTAGATTTTGTTTTATTGGCTGTGTTATATGTTTATTTTTCTCACTAATTTTTTTTAAAAGGCACAATATTAAGGAGCGAGGGAAAGAAGCATTTCTTCACTCCGTGTATATAGTTGGCCCTCCACATTTGTGGGCTTCACTTTTGTAGATGTGATTAATATGTTCTTTCTGGGAATCTCTAGGTCCTTCTGGCATAAGTTGATTATCGAGTCATTCGGGAGGACTTACAGATCTGTAGCAAAATTATTGTATTAGTCACTTTTTTTGCAGGGGTCATATACATCTAACCCCCACAATAGAGAGGTCCTACTATTGTATTAGTCACTATTTTTGTAGGGGTCATATACTTCTAACCCCCACAATAGAGAGGTCCTACTGTAGTCAAAACTGGGAGATTCTATAACCCATCACTACCATCTCGTCCTGCACTGTAGGCAATATCTCCATCCACTATCAGTTGTTGAACAGCAGAAACAAAAAACTGCAGTTGCTTTCTTACTCTTCTTATAAAAGGTAAAGGTTACCCCTGACATTAAGTCTAATTGTGTCCAATTCTGGGGGGTAGTACTCATCTCCATTTCTAAGCCAAAGAGCTGTTGTTGTATGTAGACACCTCCAAGGTCTTGTGGCCAGCATAACTGCATAGAGCACCGTTACCTCCCCGCAGAAGCAGTACCCATTGACCTACTCATATTTGTGTGTTTTCAAACTGCTAGGTTGGCAGAAGCTGGCTTAACAGTGGGAGGTCACCCCACTCCCCGGATTCAAACCACTGACCTTTTTGTTAGCAAGTTCAGCTCAGCGGTTTAACCCGCTGCGCCACCAGGGGTCCTTCTCATAGATTGGCACATATTTGTGGGCAGAATGATGGAAAAAATGCCTTGTTGCATCTGGCTTTCTATTTATAGGAAGGTTATATGGAGAACAATTTGGTCTTGTGATTTCCCACATCATCCATCCAAATACAGTTGGGCCACAACTCCTATCATCTCATCACTGGATAGGGCTGATGGGAGCTACAAGAAACATATGTTTGGAGAAACACATATTCCTTAGCCTAACCAGTAACAGGTAGATCATAGACATGCCTCATCAGTTATTATTATTTTTTAAAAAGACTTTTTTAAAAATTCCCTAGACAGAATTTTAATAATGTCATTTTTTCACCTAAAATAAGTTTGCAGTAACTGACACCTTCGTTTTTATAAACTGTTTCTGTTTATTGAACCTTGACTTGGAAATGCAGCATTTGTGTATTTTTGTGTGTTTTTACATGTGGATACATATTATAGTTATGCAACTGGCATTTACCAGTATCCATGGATTTTACATCCAGAGATTCAATCATCCATGGCTTGATTTTTTTTTTAATTCCAAAAGCAAAGCTTGATTTTTGCCATTTGATATAAGGGACACAATTTACTATGTCATTTTATATAAGGGGGGCATGCAATGATTTTGGGATCCACAAGAGATCTTGGAACCAAAACCCAGTGGATACCAAGGACCCATTGTATTTCTAAGTAAGTGCTCTTATGATCACATCCAGGACCTTCCACAGAACTCTGATACTCAAAATGAGATGCCTCTATTTTATTTCCAGTTTACAGAATACTGCAAGGGCTATAGACCTATGCATGCTTATTCCATTCTGCCCAGGAATACAGCCACATCGGCTTTTAGTGAAGCAATGCCTATGACCAATATCTGCTTCCTACTAATACCTGAGGAAGCATAAACACTCCTGCTAAAATCGATCTATTAGTTTTAAATGTGCTGGAAAATCCACAAAACAGGCTTGCATGATTTATTTTGTTCAAATTAGTTGGCCCAGTAAAACTAGTGGTTTTGGGGGATTTTTTTGGATTTTGATGTGATGTATTTTGCTGTATAATCAATATGACTATTCCTGAATATGCTTCCTAAATACTTCTTTTTCCCATTGTGAAAAGAGATCAGCATGGCTATCTCCTTGAGAATTACCCCAAATAAATGTAAACAAATTCAGTGGTATGTACTTTTGAGTTTGTCTGTATGGATTATAGACGTTTGAGGTAGAGTGGCCTATGTAACTACACATCTGGGAATAAGTGATGGAGGTCTATCACACAACTAGCCATACAGAGAAGAAGATTAGACACATGCTTATGCACAGAGAGGAATTTTCTTTGATAGATTCAGTAGAGAAATTCAACTGAGAAGGTACTTCATTTAAAACGTGTTCACTCATTTCTAGGGATACGGAATATGTGAACCAGTCAGTGTTGCTAACTAAACTGAATTGTTTATTTTGCAGATGGGAAACATACAGACTTGCAGATAGTGTTGGACTGCAGCTCCAGTTAGCGCTAGGCAGTAAACAAGGATCGTGGGAATTGTGGCCCAGTAACATCTGTAGGCTCACACATTTTTCATCCCTGGTTAATGTGATCAGGACCAGTTAGAAAAGAACCCAATGGAAGTTAGAAAAACTTCTTAAAGGGAAAATGTATCTGTGAGATTCTATATTGTTTGTTCTTTTTGGCAGCAAAAGCATTAAGAAAAGAATGGCAAGCAATGATGACCTCTTAAGAAATCTACAGAATAACTTGGAAGAACTGAACAGCCTCCGATCCAGATTCTTTGCATCAACAAAACGTCCTCCATCTAGAAGTTCAAAATCATTGCTTCGTGACCAACAGCAATTGCCAACAGAGAATATGAACATCCAGCCATTCGCTCCTAGGAAGAGTGTCCGTCATCGAAATCCTTACTGGCCTGATGAAGAAATCCGAACATTTATTGAGATCTGGGGTGATGACCAAGTCCAAGCCTCACTGGCCACTAATTTTCGCAATGAGGCTCAGTATGAGTGGATCTCTGATAGGATGCGAGAATATGGCTATGACCGGGATATGAAGCAGTGCCGTTTACGTGCCAAAGAACTTCGGCGAGGATACAAGGCTATTGTTTGTGGAAATAATTCCTCTGTGAGTGGTCAACGTGCCCTGCCCTTCTATGATGCCTTGAACAGTTTTCTGTGCATGCACAAGGGCCTTGTGGTGTCCAAAGTTTCCCTCTCCATAGATCGGAGGAATCGAGAAGCACAAAAACTGGGGCTGGAGCAGGAGAAGAGTGAGAAGCTAAGTGTTGTCCTTGTTTCTGATGATGACGACGCATCCATTCCAGAACCTACAGATGAATCCAATGGCTATTTTCAAGATGCACGGATGGATTCCGATTTGGTGAATGCACAGTCTCCAAGTGATGAGTGGGAACATCATGGAGAAGATGGCATTCTGGCAGGTGATGTAGCTTCACCCCATTTTCACAACAGTAGAGGGGAGAGCCATTCTGCTAATTCAGGTAAGTTTTTGCACGTGATTCAGGAGCGTTTTTCCAGCACTTTGAATGCATTTCCCAATTCAGCTCCCCAAAAAGCCACCTTCTCAGTGTGCAAAGGCAACTTCTCCCATAATGGTCGTTTCCATGCTAGTAAAGGTGACAGATTAATAAAAGATATGACCAACTATTTTCTTTTAGCTAAATGCACACCATTAATATGATCATCAGAGACTTGCCAGACATCTCAAAGGTGTGCATTTAGCTAAAGGAAAATAGCTGGATGCGTCTCTGATGTTTCCCCAATGCTCCACAGATGCAGAAATGAACATCTTGGTGATTGCCATGTGGAGAGGGTGGGGTTGAGGAAATTTTAGTTGTTGCATGACTGGAACAGAATTCGGCAGTGACCCAAAACATGGGTTACAATGTACTTAATTTCATCAATTTAGTTTAATTAATTGGACTTAATTCATCCCGTTATTCACTCACAGGATGCCAGCCCACAGTTTTATAGCAATGCAATTGAGGCTACGTGTTAATTCGGTGGATGTTTGGTTCTTAATTTCAAGAGTCCTTGTGCTGGTGGGACACCAGTAAAAAACCAGAGGGGGAAAACAGTGTTAATATTTATTTGTTTGTTTGTTTGCTTACTATATTTCTATCCCACTCTATCTTGCCCTGAAGGGGACTCAGCAGTGTACAGTTTTAGCAATATTCGTTAATAACACAATAATACTGTGAGAAATATAGGGGACACAAAATAGCAGGAGCCTATAGGCAATATAATAAATGACTAGAACAATTTATAAGAATACTCCACCCTGAGTTCCCCCTCGGGGGTTGAGAAGGGCGGGGTAAAAATGCACTAAATAAATAAATAAATAAATAAATAAATAAATAAATACTAGCTGTACCCGCCATGTGTTGCTGTGGCCAATCTTCCCTCCCTCTTTCTCTCCCTCCCTCTTTCATTCCTTCCCTTTTCTTTCTTTCTTTATCTCCTTCCTTCATTCTCTACCTCTTTCCTTCCTTCCCATCACTTTTTCTTTCGCATTTTTCTTTCTCTCCTTTCCTCCTTCTCTACCTTTTTCTTTCCTTCCTGCCTTTCCTTCCTTTGCTTCCATCCTTTCTTCTCTCTTTCCTTCTTTGCTTCTCTCCCTCTTTTTCTCCTTCTTTCCTTCTCTCCTTCCTTCCCTCCCTCTTTCTTTCCATCCCTGGCAGCTCCCCCCTCTCCAGACTTACCATTGTGCCATCCGTTCCTAGGTCCTGGTCTGACCAGAAGAGGGAGGATGGTCAGCAGTGCCTCTCACACTTGCTGTGTCCTCATGCAGGAGGAGGTGGGGCTATGGTATTTGTTTGCATACATATGCTGTGTCATTTTCTACCTTTTTTAGATTTTAAAGTTTTTTTCACTGTTTTTTGGTGATTTTGTTAGTGATGGTCACTTCTTGGGTTAGTAGGTGTCTTGGGGCCAAATTTAGTGTCATTTTGTCCAGTGGTTTTTGAATTGTGTGCATCCCACAAACGAGCATTACATTTATATAGATATACATTCATAATAATAATAATAATAATAATAATAACAACAACTACTACTCCTTTATTTATATCCCGCCCTATCTCTCCAGTGGGACTCAGGGTGGTTTCCAAACAAGAAGTGGCAAAACTAAACGTCATGCCAACCCTGCTGGCAGTCTAAGATACTTGTAAATATATATATATATAGCTAGATAATATGTAATGATAAAACAAAACAGCTTCGGTACTGATAAATAGTCTTAAAACCAGATATGGAATTCCCCCCGAAAAGCTCAAGCCATAACATCCATATGAATAGGGTCCAAAAGACATGTATTTCTGAAGAGCAGAAATATAGCTACTCCTAGGAATGTGGGGTCGTTCCAACAGGTCTTCCTCAGTGACTTGAAGAGAATGAAGTTTCCCACAATACTTCAATTTGCTATAGACAGAATATGCTGAACTCCAAGGGCTTAAGTAATGTAGAAGTTAACCTTGTTGTTGCTGTGTGCCTTCAAGCTCTTTCCAACTTTCAACAAACAACTCTAAGGTGAACCTGTCATGGGGTTCTCTTGGTAAGTGTTGTTCAGAGGGCATTTCCCTTTGCCTTCTTCTGAGACTGATAGAGCATTACAATTTTGCATATTGAATGCATACAGAATTATTTGGCTGCCACAGAATGGAGCCATTCTAACCTCAAAGCCTGGCAGCAATCACTGAGAAGGCTTTCCCCTGTGTTCCCAACAGACAGATCTGGGAAGAAGGTAGGACTGGAAAAGGGGTCCTTAGTGAAGTTTTCAGAGACTGGTTATTTTGAGAAAATGTGGTGCTACATGTAACCTAGATCTGAGCCGTATAAAGCTTTAAAATTATTCAGTGCCAAAAGGTAGGGGTTCCACACATGCTCAGTGGTTGTCTCATCATTGTAAAAAAATTCAGCTGAAATTAATAATGAAGTATGAAATGCCTTTTGTTCTTTTTAGCATTGGGTGTGCTGTGAGGTCCTGTCAATATACTGTGGTTGTATTAACTTGTTCTATATTCATTACAGGCCCATCCAGCTCTTTCCCCAGGGGAACCCTAAATGATGCTGACAGTATGAGCAACCATTGGAGTAGGAAGCAGAGGAAACAAGCTGAAGCTACCTCAGACATTGTGGATGCCATATCACAAGTGGGTGACAGACTAGTGAATGCTCTGTCTGATTTGCATTCGAAACACAGGGAGACATCCGAGCTTGCACAAACCAGGGAAAGTAATGACCACAAGAAGGAGTTTGCCGTCCTGGCAAGCCATGTGGACCAGGCTACAAAAAACATAGATAAACTTGTCTCTCTGATGGAGACGTCTACCAGAAGAATTGCAGATGCCATGGACAGGCAAACAGCTGCCTTGGAAAACCTGGCACAGTTGTTTGCCACTCGAGTACCTGCTCTTTCAGCGCCCTTAGTTTCCCAGGGACATCCTACTCTTTCTTCTCCAAGTACCTCTGTACTGCTTCCATCGCTGCCAACAGGGCTACACAATTCCCTAAACTCTTTGGCACCATGCCACTCTGGTGATCCCAAGCCATCAGGATCTTCAGCTCACTCGGAGGCTGAGGAATGTCAGCCCCAGGCAAAGAAAATTAAAAAAGAAGAAGACTAGCATAATCTGTGCAGCAACCCCTCAGACTTGTGCATTAGCTTTTATGGGGTGAAATTCATGTTATAAAAAAAACTCAGGAGGGGAGAAGTAAGGAAGGTGGAGCATTTAACAGACCTCTTTTGTTAATTGTTTTAAAGCTTTATATCTAGATTTTAACACTGCTATCCTATATGACCTGTTATGTCATGTAATTTTATGTATACCTAGCTACCTAGCAAAAGCACTGAGAAAATCCCTTTACTGAATTGCAGTGATGTCTTAACAGGACACCAGTAAGAATGGCCAACACACGCTGAGACTGTGGTGCAATGCATAATGTGCATCAATGTGTCCCTCAGTTTATGGTGCACATTAAGCACTGATGTGCATTGTGCAATATCCGACCCTTTGCTGACTCTGCTGCATAGTAATGTAGCAGCCCCCTACTAGATAAGGACATTGTGCAGCTGCACAATTCTAATTCCTGCAGACATAAATTCATTTACAAAGACATAAAGCGCAGTGAGTGGGTTTCATGGGGGGATTCTACTTTTACCCAGGATTATATCATCATAAAGTTCACTGACATTCCATTACTTTATTGTTTGTTACATACTTTGCTGCTTAATTAAGCATTTTGAGCTGCAGTCCTATGCATACTTACTCGAAGAGTATCAAGTCCCTTGACATTTGTAGACTTTGCCTCTGACTGAACATTACTGCCATCACATTGTCAGCATAGAATGGATATTAACTTGGGACATGAAGGATGTAGAGTCAGTATCCCCTCTCAGGAACTCACTGGTGAAGTTGGCAAGGCTCCCTAGGCCAGAATTAATTTTAACTCCAAATATGTACTACTAATGACCTCAAACATTGATTTTGACAAGTAATAATTGAAATGATTGTAAATCATTGTGCGTACTAAATGGATGCAAAAGATAAAAGTAGATAACCCCTTTTGATGGGAAAGGGGTTTTCTATATAAAAATATATTATTAAATCAATAAGATGGACCACTAATAATGGACTATTCTCCTCTCTCATGTGATTGAAACCATGTGCCAGACTAAGTTACGACATTTAATTGGCAAGACAAGTTAGTCTCCGGAATTTAAAAAAAAAAACTTCTAAGGTGATAGTAGACTCTATAGAATAAAATCCAAATTTTTGTTTTGTGGTGTTGATGCATAACTTGGGGAGTTAGGCAAACAAGCTACTGTATGTTCCTTTAGTTGTGTAGATGGAATAGGGCCGATTTGGTTGGTTAATGAAGCACAGCAAGACCATCTAGTTTCAGATAACTCTTCTTCACTCATAAAGTTTCTGTGCAGTCTTGGTGAAGAGACTAAGAATGGTTTCAGGTACAGGAGACCTACAGCCCTCCAGATCATATTGGTTCCAGGTCCCATCAGCCTCAGTCAGCATTTTTATTTTTTGGGGGGGGGGGGGGGGGGAACCATCATTTTTCTGTGCAGTACACTGGAATAATTGTGCTGATAAAACTACAGCTGTGCAGACAATGGCAACAGTAGGAAAAAGTCTGCATGTACAGTAGCCAGGATGGCAAGTAAAGTACTAGAACATGTCTGTGAAACTCAAGGCCCACAGGCTGGATGCAACCTTCCATGTTATTTTATGTAGCCCTCCAGATGCTGACTACAGATCCTGTATTCCTCATCATTACACATCATGACTAGAGCTGGTGGGAGTTGTGATACAGGAACATCTGGAAGGTTGCATTTTGTTTTCTTTAGTCAGGATAGTGAGGTTTAAATTTAGATACAAGGCTTGTGGAAATCATATCTGATTTTAAAATGCCCTTTAACGTTTTCCCATCCTCAGAGCTACAACTACTGTTAGGTTGTCATTCCCATTATCCCCAGACTGCATGGTGAATAATAACAATGATTGAAAGTTTTGTTCAGTAACATCTGGGGACCCAAATTGGGTAAAAACTAGAGAGTACCAACCACTATGTAAAAAAAACCTATGTAAAAAAATATAGTTATCCCTCTATATCAGGTGTTCCCAACATTTTTTTGACCAGGGATCACTTTGACCAGGGACCATCCTCCAACATTAATATCAAAAGGGTTATAAATCAGTTTTTGGTCAACTTTAGATTCAGTTTGGTTATTTGTGGCACTGATTCAGAAAATTGCATCGGATCGACCACATAAGCTCTAGTTTCTGATACATAACATATGCCATCCAGTTGTCACCATCTGCTCGCCCACAGAAAACCATATTCAACAATCTAGTTCTAATGTAGTAGTAGAAATCTTTTGTGGGTATTCAGCCTCTCCTTCCTGACATCCCCATTGCCTCAGCACTATAAGAGGGTTTCGCGAGACCAGTCGCTCTCGTTGCCGCATGGTTTTGAGGCAACGGTGTAATGGTGAGTCCGCAAACCATATTTTGTTCTTGCTGACCACTGATGGTTCACGGACCACAGGTTGAGAACCACTGCTCTATCCACAGATTCTCTGTCCATGGAGTGTTCCTTTTAAAGGTAACCATAAGGCTGATGAGACCCTCAGTGAAAATGAGTTTGACACACTTGCACTAGAATAACAAGCTGCTTGAAACCAGAAAGGTTTGGCTGTTTTTCCTTGTCACTGTTGCAAGGAACAGGTTTTTTTGTTTGTTTGTTTGTGTCAGGAGCGACTTGAGAAACTGCAAGTCTGTTCTAGTGTGAGAATTGGCCGTCTGCAAGAACATTTCCCAGGAGACATCTGGAGGCTTCTCTCATTTCCCCACATGAGAAGCTAGAGCTGACAGACGGGAGCTCACCCCGCTCCCTGAATTCGAACCATTGACCTTTAGATCAGCAGTCCTGCCTGCACAAGGGTTTAACCCATTGCGCCACTGGGGGCTCCTTCAAGGAACAGTGGCAAGGAAAAACCAGACTGGAGAAAGTGAAACCATTATCATAGTGCACCAGTAGGATACCTGCTCTTTAGGACAGGTATTTTCTTGTCTCCTGGACCCTTGCAACCAATGCCCAACCTCATAGTTCTGGGCAACACAAAGAGAAGATCTGAGAGTGGCAATCAACTTTGTATCTACTCTTCTGAGATCGTTAGGCTCTAACCTTTATATGCTAATTAACTATCTGCATTAATAACTGATTTAGCAATCAACCTACATGAATTTGTCTTTTGGAGCCACTCAAACTAGTAGCCAGCACAATATGTTGTAATAGCTTCATGAGTTGATGCATTTGAAGAAGCACTTCTTTTTGTTTGTTCGGAACTTAATGACAATCAGCTCCAATTAATGATGTCAAGGTCTAGCAGTGGAAGAGTTAGTAATTCTTTATTTCTGACATTCATTATAGGGTTTGGTTTCCATTTTACTAAAGTAAAAAAAAAGAAATCTCAGAGTCGGTTTAGTTTGGTTGTTATTGTTTTTAAAAGTGATTTTATATTTCTGGGGAAGTTAGAATTGAGTTGGACATATAAATATTTTTTGAAGGACATCAGTTCTGATACGAAGTCTTTTGTATTGATGTTGAACTTTAATTCCCAGAATCTTTGCAATAATAAGGGACTGTGAGAATAATATGTGCTGCAGCTGGATCCTGAGGGCCAAAGTCGCCCTATTTATTTACATTTATTTATTTATTTAAAACTTTTATATCCCGATCTTCTCTACCTCTGTAGAGGGACTCAGACCAGCCCTAATCCTGTTTTATGTCTTAATAGACAAAATTGGAATATAAATGGTGCTGGTATGTAGTCCTGGTTTCAGATATCATCACTACAAGGTACTAAGTTGAAAAGGGTGTCCCAGAAGAGGCTCTTAACTTCCAGGCAAAAATTGACCCTACAGACAATTGACCTCACTATTTCCAGATCTTGCTGAGAACCCATTTCCCATATATTCATCAGTGTTAATTTGGGTGGTGTCCTTAAGTCAGCATAATAAAACCTGAACACAATCCAATAGCGATATTTGTACTTACTATAAAGTGGAAGTGGGAATCATGTGTCTCTCTAAATCAGTGGTTCTTAAACTGTGGGTCCCACAGGTTAAGAACCACTGCTCTAGATGCTCTTAGACAACAACTGCCAACATTCCTTACCAGTACTATTTAGGGCTGCTGGAACCTCTGTGTAATTCCCACTTTCATTTGGAATGCATATTGTAGAAAAGGAAAGCCCTACATGCAAAGATTTTGATTATTTCAAATTCCATATGCAGCGTTCTATGCAGTTTTTTATCATATACTTTTCAGCTCTGAGCAATTTAGGCAACAGTTCATAGAGCTTTATACTTATCTTGTCCTTTGATTGTACATCAGACTCTAAAACCACTACTATGATGATCCCTTCAATCAGGATAGTCAGATGGTGGACCTCAAGAGATCATCAGTACCCATCTGCCTCATGGTGCAGTATCAATATAGCAGTCATGGTCTGATGGCATCTATAAGGGCAGAGGTTGTCTGTGTTAAATCACTCCTGTTTGGGGTCATTATGTTCCACTGAAGCAGCCATTTAATCTTAAAGAAAAGTCTTGTGGGATTAGGAGGAGGAATGGCTCCACTAGCATATTTAAACCATTGATGACAGAGATGGTCTCCTTGCCTCTGCAATGGGTCTTCTGGGCACTGCTCCATTCTCAGTTTCACAGGGCATGAGGCTGTACCAGACATATGCAAGGTACTCAAGTGCAGTCCTTTTCCAAATCAGTAGCCAAGAAAAGAGCTACATCTAAATGTGCCTGTCCCCCCCCCCCCCCCCCGTGTTGTTCATGAGGCATGATGACAATACGCAGGGAGATATGCATATCTCCTTGCACAACATCAAAGTACATATGCTACTATAACAATATTATGCTAGCATTCAGATTCTAGCTTTTTTTTCCCCATGCTTCTATAAACCTCAGGAAATCCTTCAGCATGCTGTTATATCCCTCTTGGTTCTTAGAGCCGTAGCAAACTAGGATTTTGCGAGAGCAAACTAAGCCAGCACGAGCGATGCTCCGCCTCTTTCTCTGCCTAAAGAGCCATAGCAAACTAGGATTTTGCGAGAGCAAACTAAGCCAGCACGAGCGATGCTCCGCCTCTTTCTCCGCCTATTTCCCTTTGCTAGGGCAGCATTGCGAGCATACGCTCGTGCCGCAGCAAACTACAGGAAGCTTGCGCTCGGGCTTGCTCCGAAGCCCCGCCTTTTTCCCCCCTGAGGCTGCTCTCTCTCTTGCTAGCGTGCCTGTTTTCCATTGCAGAGGGCAGGGATGCGAGCGTACGCTCACAGTTGAATTCTGCCAACTGCGAGAGTACACTCGCATTGCTTCCCTAGCAAGGGAAAACAGGCACACTAGCAAGAGAGAGAGCAGCCTCGGGGAAAAAAGGCGGGGCTTCAGAGCGAGCTCGAGCACAAGCTCGCTCTCGCTTCCAGTAGTTTGCTACGGCTCTTAGTGGTTGAATTTGTTGTTCATGAGAATGGTGGTGATTCTCTTCTGTCTCTGTTCTACACAGCTTTAGCAGGGTTATACCTTTATAATTGCCATAGCTCTGTTCGGTGCAAAACTTAATTCTGGCCAAGAGTTTGACCAAACCATTGTGCAATGGATACCAAAGCTATGAGCTCACCCATTGTGTGATAGTCCAGTAACTCTCCACTCATCAAGTGAAGGGGAGCTGTGTGTATGTGCTTGTGGAATGGCCGCGTATAGGAGGGACTGCATTTATACAACCTCTTAGAAATCTCTTGTGCAACCACTTCTATGTACGTATAATAGCATCATGCCCCAACAAGATTTTGACTTTTCTGTCCAGGGAGTGACTAGAACTTCTAACAGAAAAATCTCAGTTCATCACAGTATACCTTTCATAGTTTCATCAGATTGAATAATGTCTGTTAAAGCGGCACCAAACTGTTATTACTGTGCAATAGATACAATCAGAGAGAGCAAAGGAAGCATCACTGATAGTGTCAGAATGCCATTAAACATTGGTGTGGGTTCAGAAAAGAATGGCAGAAATGATGGATAGGACTCCTTGTGTGTTTTGAAGG